TCTGGTATGTGATTGATAAGAACAACTTCCTTTGCTTTTGCGACGGGGGCCTTCATGGCAGCTGTAGAAGTTTCCTACAAAAGAGCATGTTGTAGGATCAGTATACTCCTAAACACTTGTCTTGTGCTATTAAACTTTGATGCCTCATATCATATCATACCTCAATTGGATGAATGGCCTCTTTGATCATCTTGATGACCTCTTTGTCCTCAGTAATCTTGACAACAGATGCTTGCTTATAGTTCGGTTGAAACTTCACACGAAATGCAAATTCCTTGTCTATTAGTTTGTCCAAGTGTTCAGGGTATATTTGGGGATGATCTTCGTTGGACTACGGATATATATATATATATATATATATATATATATATATATATATATATATATATATATATATATATATATATATATATATATATATATATATATATATATATATATATATATATATATATATATATATATATATATATATATATATATATATATATATATATATATATATATATATATATATATATATATATATATAAGGTAAACGTTACATAGTAATATAAATGATTCAAAGAAAATGTAGTTCAACATTGAATAATGTAGTGAATTGGTTGCCAAAGATATTGTAGCATGACTCTGTAAAAAAAATAGGCTTTCATCAAGTAGCACCTTATATGAGGTATAGAATATATATAATGCCTCAAACATATGTTAAAATACAGAATATGGGCTGTATAGTTTTTCCAAGTACATTGTAGCATCACAATGTAAAAGACAACAACATTTCAGCAGGTACAAAGTGTATGAGGGAAGTGACATATTTCAAAATGGTTTCATGTGAATATATTCAAAGCAAATATATTTCAAGTACAAATAAGTAGATAGCATGTATATGTATATATATATATATATATATATATATATATATATATATATATATATATATATATATATATATATATATATATATATATATATATATATATATATATATATATATATATATATATATATATATATATATATATATATATATATATATATATATATATATATATATATATATATATATATATATATATATATATATATATATATATATATATATATATATATATATATAACAGGCTGATATACCTCAACTCGATTTCTGCAGAGTATCTCAACTCGATTTCTTTTTAGCATACTAAATAGGATCTTGAGTGACATCTTTGAAAGGAAGAATGGAGATATACCTCAAGTAAGTGAACTAAATGCTTTAGCAATAAATAAATACCCAATGTTACTTAATTACTTTGTCTAACAAAATGAATTTTAATTGTGCCACTGTGTGGAGTTGTTCAATTTCCCATTTATTTATATGTTTCTAGGCTCAACATGCAGCATGCCTGTTGAGAAAGATTCTGCCAGTAATCGAGTTACGCTTTTCAAATCAACTAGAAAGCATGAAAAATGTAAGTTCATCATTTCTTTCTTTGCCAAAAAGTATTTGTTTAATAAGTTCTATTGAATAATGACTAATTTAATGTGTTTCGTACCTGAAGCAAAACAATATTTTCAAGGCTCGTGAGGGAAAGTATCAAACAAAACTAAATGTTGTTGAAACCTTGGCAGCAGGGGCAGCTGAAGAGAATGAGGTATTTTATTTGTTGAGGCATCTAGATGCCTATGTTACTGTTTTATATTATTGTTGTCCTATGTTACTGTTTTATATTATTATTGTCTACTTATTTAAATTTTAAAAGTTTTCTTCACTTTCTACAACTTGTGACAGGTTGGGTTCAGAAGTTCAAAGCAAATATATTTCATGTGAATATATTCAAAGAAAATATATTTCAAGTACAAATAAGTAGACAGCAGGCTCTCATAAAGTACAAATAATATGAGGTATATAATATATATAGTGTATAGTTTTCCTGCCATTATTAGTCTCTATCTTGTGAATGCAGCATAGAACAACAACTATTCCCACAATGAGGTGCACAGTTTATATGTAAAAGACAACATGCTTTCTTCAAGAACAAAGGATATTAGGTATTAGCATGGTTTCATGTGCATATATTGAATGTCTCAAGCATATATATAATGTATCAAACATATGTTAAACTACAAAATATGGACATACCTTTTTCATGATTTCTCTTAAATCATGTGCCGACATTCCAACGTATTTGATACAATCATTGTCCCAAAACACAAAATAACCGCAATTTCCTGCATACTCGACCTCAATTTCGATCTTATACCTAATGAATTGGTTGCAATGCAATAAAATTAACAAACAGATGCATATAAGGTGCTAAGTTTATATATGTATCAAATAAGAATGATGTGCTTACTTGGTGATAGGTGTTGGTATGTTTTCACAGCAAGTGCATATGAATGGCTCCCCAAGTGACTTGTTAGTCCTGTTACATGCTGGACATTGTTCATAGTACCAACCAAACTTACTTGACTTAAACGTTGTACCAATAGTGTTGCAAAATGTTTGTTGTAAAGATGCACATGGAATGTATCACAACATTTGTAGTGAAGCAAACAAAATAGATATGGGATTTACAATTGAAAACAGCTTACGATTGAGACTAAGAAGCTTACATTTTGCAGACTAATGATTTCCCCGATTGTTTTAACGTCATTGGTGTAGGAAAAAGACCTATCAACAAAAGACCCTTGAGATGCACAGGGCCGAGATAATGGTTGTGACATCACCTGGGAAGTCACATTGCCACCCCACCTAAAAACAAAGGAAGCATTATATAAAGTGCAGTACATTAAAGGGACTGCATCATGACATGATTTAAAGGTTAGGGCTTACTTAGACTTGAATGAGGTGACTTGAGGATGACCATAATCGAGAAGCATTTTTATTCCATGCCACGATTTGGAGATGTACAATTTTCCGGTTGCTGCGAAAAGTGAATATTCATATCAGTAACTATAACATGGACAAATTAGAGTGGCATATCAATAACAAGCATTACCTGAACTTTGTTGGTACATGGCATGAGTGATGACGATAATAGTCAGGCCATGTGCAGTTTTCTCATTTGTGTAGGCCATAAACTGAGTGGCATATGCTTCCCACAGAGTCAGATCAATTTCAGAACCACTAATAACAAACAAAGAGAAGTAATTAATAGACATAAATCAAATAACAAATAAAGAGCTAAATAAGGCATTATATGATATATACATTTCATCAGATATGATAAGGTTGATGCAAACCTTCTTTCCGCCACCCGCAACTTGAGTCTTGACAACTTCGTGGAACACACCTATCACATCTGAATGAAAGAAATGCCAAATAGTCAGAATAATGATTTTCAATAACATGTCATCATGCTGGTAATGTGAGGAAAAAAACATTGCGAATACCATATAAGCGATTTACTCGAAAATCTTCGTGTAAGAAATCAACAATGGGTTTGAAACAAAATTGGTAAGCAGGCATTTCTGGCATGTCAACCACCGTTACAGTGGTACCACCATTGAATACAAGCTTCAACGGGTTGTCACATACTTTCAAGGCAAGATCATTGTTTAACAGGTCACCAATAAACCATGACAGTTTGATGTTCTCGTAGTCTCTGCTTCCATAAATCGAAATCCCTATTGCGAGTCACGACGTGTATTTTGTCACACTATGAATGAAATGAAGTGTTAGGACACCTTGTAAGTTTAATAACCGTAACATGACATATTAACATTATATAACAATAAACGTATACCTTGCTATCTTGGAGAACACCTTCAAAGTGCTGTTGTCCGTTACGGTCCTTCACGATCCACAAATCAACGACACAAGTTGCGAGCTTTCATACGTTGTTACCTATCTTCAAATCAACAATTATAATGGATGCTTTAGACATATTGATCTGAAAAGTACAAACAACACAAAAAAAAGAATAACGACACCAACCTTTTTCATATTTATAAAACATGCTTTCTAACAATAGCACTTGAACCTGGCTGTCTTGAAACATGAAAAATGTTGAACATAAAACAATAGGATTTCAAAAAAGCATCTCAAAAACATATGTTGAAACGGATGCATTCATGAGGATTTGAACAAAAAATAGTCTTTCCAAAACCATTAGCAAAACGATTTCAAAGTCGTACAAAATATAAATATGAATGGAAAGAAGGGAAAACCGAAACTTTCGATTTCCGTCATGCATAATGAAGAACAATAAGCAAAAATATATAACCAACTGTTACATTGACGAAAAACCATGAATGAACAATGGAAAAATCAGTCGCAATGGAAAAACAAAAGTCGTTGAACGGTGAATGACAACATACGCAAAGAAGTGGAAAAGAAGTTGTCGAAGGATGAACGTCTTTGATTTTATGCTTGTCTTGCGTGAAAGACCAGAGCTGTAGGGAGAAAGACGAGAGGAAGCAGGAAAACTTGGTGTTTGTATGCTTCTGAAACACAATGAAGTGAGAAAAGAGTGAGAAAACCTTTTTGACATATTGATATTTAATTAGTCCAATAGGTGAGGGATAAGTGGATGGATGTGAAGATTTTCAAAATGTGAAAGAATATAATATGTTAATTACATTGATGACCTTAAGTTAGACATATTTATTTTAGGTGTGAAGGGTATAAATGGTAGAATGATCGACAATAAACAATAATAAGTAGGTAGTTGAGGGGCATTGTTGGCAAAAACATATGGTTACTTACTATTAGATAGTTAGTATATTTTGAAAAAAAGGATGAAGAAGTGTGAAGTGAAGAAGTCTAGTAGGAGAGTAGTAATAAATAAATTGGTGGGAAGTAGGGGAAATTAAGTGATTGTGTGTGTGGTTACATTTCAGTGCCATTGTCCTTGGAAAGACGAAGACAAGACTCATCTACTCTCTTAATCAAGTATTCAATTCCATTCAACACGCTCTTATAAATCATCATTTACATCGCTTCTTATCGATTCATCCCTCTTTCTCTCCCTCTCTCTCTATCCGTTTTTCTGCGCCGGAGAGAGAAAGAGAGAGCAGGCATGGCTATTGCAGCTGCTGCTGTCGTGGTTCCATTAGGCCTGCTCTTTTTCGCCTCAGGCCTCATCGTTAATCTCGTTCAGGTTTTCCCCTTTTTCTTTGGTTTCATCGCCATAGATTTTTTACTTAATTTTTTTCTATCAACATGCATTTTTTTTCTCTTATTCACTTCTCTAACGGTTATTAGCATTATCAAATTCTCTATTTGTTAAAACCCCTAATTCAATTTATACAAATCTGACATTACCAGGGTTCTCTATCTAGATCTTAAGAATTCACTTATTTGAGTTTATATGAAGATATTAGAATTTGATTTAAGTATTTGTTAGTAGAGTGACTTGTCTGTAGGCTGTTTTCAGCTTTTTTGGATAAGCTCTACTGGATAGATTATGAAAGTGGTTTATAGCTTATGTTAAAACAGTTTGACTACTTTATAAATTGTCTTTGATTTTTTTTTTTTAGTTGCACTTCTGAAAAGGTTACACTCGCGCTCAAATAGGTTAAAACCTAGTGAATTACTTTTAAAGCTCAGTGAATTAAGTTCACTTATAAAATGTTAATTTTTTTGGGTGTGGTTGGATATTTTCTCTTTTTGTTATAAAATTAAGTTATTCTTAAGTATTTATATGATAAGCTGTTTATTTAATCATATAAGTATTTATGCTATAAGTGCTTAACTAATTAGTATTTCTTTCTTGTCTTAGGCAACATTCTATGTCCTTGTAAGGCCGCTGTCAAAGAATTTGTACAGACGGATCAACCGGGTGGTGGCAGAACTGTTGTGGCTGGAACTTATTTGGCTTATTGACTGGTGGGCTGGAGTTAAGGTGCTTGAACGAATTTTAATTTCTCTCCAATCCTTTTTCTTGAATGCTTGTAGTTGGAATACTCGTTTTAGTTGATTTGATAGTTGTGGACTGAAACTATAGGATTTGAAGTGCTACTACAGTTCTATTCCGGTGAAACTAGTGACTCGAGAATAAGTCCTTTCAAGGTGTAATGATTAGGCTAGCTTTGGAAACAGCACATTTAGTTGGTTTGTTGATTGTAGGCTGTAGCCACTAGTTATCCGACACTTGGTTGTCATTAGCGTGCTATAGCGGCATAGCGTAGCAGCACGGCTCGTCACTGCTACGCTATTGGTCTGCGAAGCGCTATTGACGATAGCGCTCATAGCGGCCGCTAAAAGCGCTATCGTAGCGGCGCTGTGGTAGTGCAACAGTGATGCCATTGCAATTTGATGGCCGCTATTCTCAATTTGGAGCAAAATCGTAAGCCCTAATATTTTGAAATTTAATTTTTGATTTTTTTAACAGTACGTTGGCCTTTCCCACACTGTTATTGGTCAAACATTTAACCTCACGTGTTATGCTTCTCTAATTTCACTGTTTTTTTTTTTCTTTTTCTACTAGTTCTCCCCTACGACGTCTTCCACTGCGTCTTCTGCATTCTTCGTTGTTTTAATCTATTTCTTTACCGTTCTCCTCTGCTTCTTCATTGTTTGCCCCTACTACCAATGCATTAATGTCTGGGGTTAATACCAATGAGGAGGATGATAATGTTGTGAAGGAATACTTTTATAAATTGATTTTGATGGGATATGTGATGTTGCAATTTCTATTTTTATGTATTTATGTATGTTGTTGGAATTTATGTTTACTATTTACGTTGTTTTTTAGTCTTCACACAATAGCGGTCATCCCGCTATTTGCTGTGCCGCTATAGCATTTTAGGGGTTCGGCGCGTAGATTAACAACCTAGATCCGACACGTGTTGTATGAGTATCATATGTGTGTCGGTCACTGGCACATGCCTAATCCAAGGAGTGTCCGGGGCTTCATAACTCCTTAATGGTTCGATGATTAGTCTAGTTTTGGAAACAATGTATTTAGTTGGTTTGCTGTTCGGAGACTGCACCCTCTAGCCATGACACACGGAACTCCTGGAAATTATATTCTTTTGCTATCTTCCCTCGACAATCATTGAGTGCTTTCATTTGTAACTGGTTATTTGAAAATACAGACTTGTGAACTGTAATTTAGCAGTTTAATTGTTCATTTTGTTCCATTTGGATTAATCATATATTTCATTTGGAACTCTCTGGCTCCAGGTCCAAATATACACAGACCGTGAAACTTTTCGTTTGATGGGTAAGTCTTTTGTTCAACGAAGTTCATGTTAGTCTTCTGGAAAGGAAAACCTGACTTGCTGTCAACAACTTTTTCTTGTATATTAATCATCAGATTCTATTTTGAATTTTTCAGGTCAAGAACATGCACTTGTCATATGCAATCACAGAAGTGATATTGATTGGCTTGTTGGATGGGTTTTAGCTCAGGTGATTGTTTTATTTGGTATGCCCTTTTTTCACATCTTCAATGCAAGAAATTTACACGAATTCACGGTGTATGCTCTAGTAACTTGTTTCATTTAAAAGTACAAATAATTTGATATTATCATGACAGGACAAAAGGACACTTATTTACTCTTATGTATGGGCTATTGTATAATAAGTTTTGGTATTCATTGACTTTCTATTTTCTTACTACATTGTTATTTATTTGTGCTTCAACTACTGAGATGTTTTTCAACATTGTCAAACAGCGTTCAGGTTGCCTTGGCAGTACTATAGCAGTGATGAAGAAATCATCAAAGTTACTACCGGTATATGCTTCACCGTGGCTTTTACTTTTGAAATTAAAAGATAAGATTGTTCTTTTATTCAGTCAACCGGATGAAATAACTTTATATAGAATATGCATTTTAGGGGTTCTTAGTTGTTAGAAACTTAGAAATAGTAGCACATATTTCTATATCATATAATTCCAATTTCTCAGTTCTAAAATGCCAATTGTAAGCTTTTGTAGCAATTAATTCCATGGTTTTCCCTTTAGATGATTTTGAATCTTGTGAAATTTTGGGTGTAACTTACCTGCTTGGAAGCTACACCCTGGTTTTTTCTTCTTATTCAATAGGTATTATTTTGACCCGTACTCAGTCATACTTATCACCAATAGAGCTTTAGAAGTTAAAACTATAAAGCAAGATTCTATGTTTGTTGTATTCAGTTATTTTCAACAATATCGGGATATTTAGTCATACTTATCTCCGTAGAACATTGAGATTTGAGTGTTGAACTATAAAGCAAGATTTTGTGCTTGTTGTATTCATTTATTTTCAACTATATATACAGGTTATTGGCTGGTCAATGTGGTTTTCTGAGTATCTTTTCCTGGAGAGAAGTTGGGCCAAGGATGAAAACACATTGAAAGTACGAGTTACTAATAATCTATTGTTTATACACTTCATGCACTTAATAGACTCATGCTTGTAATTGTTGTAATCTTATCCTTTTACTCATGCATATAATTTTCTTTCTTACTACACAATCAGCTTGATTAAATTTTGGGATCTCATTTGAATGTTTCATTATCATATTTGCAGTCAGGTATACAGCGGTTGAAAGATTTTCCTCTTCCTTTTTGGTTGGCTCTCTTTGTAGAAGGAACACGTTTTACAAAGGTTAAATTGTTAGCTGCTCAGGAATATGCTACATCCTCTGGATTACCTGTTCCTAGAAACGTATTGATTCCTAGAACTAAGGTGAAGTACTTTATATTATTTATTTCTTTGTTTACCTTCTTCCCACACTTTAACTTTGATAGATTGGAAGGTATGCTGCACAGTCTATTCAATATTAGCATCTACTTGTAATACTTAGCAGGATCGATGATGAAATTATGTTACCGTTGTTTGTTCCAATATCATTTTTAGTATCTTTAGCCCTATATGTCTCTTATCCTTAAGAGGTCTTCCCGCACTAGCAGGTTTTTTCGGAATACTTTACTTATTCTGGCATGAGTGGCAAACAGGCCTATGTTTCTTGGTTTCAATAGGATTTCTTACAATCATTGTTTCTATCTGCTATTATCTAAAAATAATTAAGTTATTAATGATTGGATGAAACCAAGAAATAACTCTTCACATGTGAAATTATATCAAATTGAGTATGATTAACTAAAGGGTAAAATCAGATTGGTTATCTTGTGGATAACACATTTGTTATTCAATAAATGAAATGTTTTGAGAACTATAAAGACATTGACATAGAGAAATAGGCGTACAGAAGTTGATTAAATTGTAAGAACTATAGAATAAAGGGAAATTACAGTAGTTAACGTAGATATGAGTTGTTAGAGTAATTAGTTAATTGGCTTGGTTTGTTATGTGGCTGTTAAGTCTATTAGCAAGTCTTTAAATAGTCTTCATTTGGTAGAGGAGAGTATCTTTGGATATTGTTAATTGTGATTAGAGTATTCTCTGGCGAAGGGGAAATCATTGAGGAGAGATTCTGTCCTATCCTATCCTATTTCTGTATAAATTTTTTTGTTCTTTGGAGTTCAATTTTTGGGTTTGGAACATAAATTCAGTTGAATGTGATTTTTGTGGTACATGTTTAATTTGATCTGTTGATCTGTATATGTGCTCCTATTTTTCTTTATAGATTAGTTAATGTGTCTGTTCTATTTTGTGCACATCTTGTATAACTAGTTACTGGACCATGTCTTTTTTAGATTTTGATTAAACAAAATTAGAAGAGCACCTGTGATGCTGTTCTATTTTGTGCACATCTTGTATAATTGGTTACTGGACCGTGTCTTTTCTAGATTTTGATTAAGAAAAATTAGAAGAGCACCTGTGATGCTGGACAACATATTGTGGTTTATTGTTTTGGTGCTTTGAAATGTGCATGTCTGGATGGGATCTCATATTATATGTGTTTGATGGAGAGTTCTGGAATAGAACAATGGGCTTTGATGGTTTGCATTATCATTGTTAGCTTTCAAGTAAAACAATTTTGGACAAGATTGAAGAAAACTGTTAAAAAGAAAATGAACACAGTATTACATCCATCTGATGATCTATTTGAACTCAACCATCACAACGGTGGGAAAGACTACAGTTAAGGTTTTGCATCCATGTAGATCAGGCATGGTTTGAAGAATGTGCTGCCAATCATAGATTGCAATGTTATATTTGAATGTTGAAAGCTTAAATAGCTACTGCAGAGGAGTCTTATAGCCTATGGTACAAGAACTAGGAATGCAATTCTATTTTTGCTACTAAAGTAACGAAACTCACATGGGAAAGTAGGACCGGATGCAAATTTTCAATAAATCTAGTTAACCCAATAAGTATAGGGTGTTGCAGTTTCTAATATGCATAGCAGTTGCGTAGATTTTCTTACCATTCTTTTCTCACTCTGATGTTTTGGCATTGTCTATATTGAATGATATCTTATTGTATAGGCTGTCAGCTAGCAACTATATTAGGTCCCGATGGTCTTGGCTGTAACTTGCTCTGAAATATTCACTGAGTCTTTTTTTTTTCTTGCTTTCAGGGGTTTGTTTCGGCTGTAAGTCATATGCGCTCATTTGTTCCTGCCATTTATGACATAACAGTGGCTGTCCCTAAAAGTTCTCCTGCTCCTACAATGCTAAGACTCTTAAATGGGAAATCTTCTGTGGTAAGCCAATTAAAATAAAGTTTTAGGAATACATTTATATTTCGTACTTTCTTAATTCTCTCTGCCAACATTTTATTATGTAGAGATGCATCATATTTAGAAATAACCCCCATTTAACGGCTTCACCAATAGGATTTCCAATCTTCCTTTCATGCCTTAGATATTTTTATTTACATAATTTATTGTTGATTGAAAAACTTTAACTAAATTTTACCACCACAGGTGCAAGTTCATATCAAGCGACATTTGATGAAAGAATTGCCAGAAACAGATGAAGCTGTTGCTCAGTGGTGTAAAGATATATTTGTTGCCAAGGTAAGTACTGTATGTTCTCAATAGTTAATTTTGGTATACTTCAGTTTTTGCTAAGAACTTGATCAGTAGTAGATTCTTATGCTTTGGTTTTTCGATAATATCACTCATTTTCTTTCTTTCTTCTAATCTCTGGGGTATCAGGATGCATTGTTAGACAAACACATAGCTGATGATACTTTCAGTGATCTAGAGCTGCAGGATACTCGTCGACCAATAAAACCTCTTGCGGTTAGATCCTTTCACAATTTGTCTAACATTTCAAAATTCTTATTTTATTAGTTATTCTTTTGATTTGTACCCATGTTCATATAGATGTTTTCCTAATGAACCATTAATTTCATGTGCGGAAGCAGGTAGCTATATCTTGGGCTTTTGTGGTTGTCGCAGGCACTGTGAAGTTCCTACAATGGTCTTCGTTGCTATCATCGCGGAAGGGTGTTGCATTTTCAACCTTGGGTTTGGCAGTTGTTACTGGTCTCATGCACATCTTGATTCTATTCACACAGGCAGAGCGTTCTAACCCGGCCAAGGTAGCCCCGGCAAAGCCAAAGAACAAGGAAGAACAACCTGAGGTTACAAATGACAAACAACAGTAGTTTACAAATGTGTTTGTTCAACCCCAAAACTTGCATAGATGCGATTGACAACTCACCTGTAATACTAATTACTCCCTCTATGGTCCTATTTATAAGAAAAAGTTGATTTTTTAGATTCATTGAATAATTAATGCATCTGATAGAATATATAGTCTAAATACATTGATTATTCAATAAACCTAAAAAGTAAATTTTTCGTATAAATAGAACCGGAGATAGTATTTCATCTTTAAAATCTACCATGATATGGAATCCAATTCTTATATGTGGTAATGTATTTCTGTCTGCTTAGTTTTCAACATAATTAGGATAATAACTTTGCAAACTATCTTTATAATAGGCACTAAATGGATAAGTTATTATCATTTATTGGATAATTTCCCGAGTCTTCTGTGGTACTTTTTGATATTCCTGGCAAACATAAAACGTTCTAATTCCCATCCCATCTTAAGTGGTAGAAAAACGTTTTATGAAAATACAAAAATGGTCTTTTAATTTTAAAAATGCATTTTCGAATGCATCTCGAGTTTTGTTAAAACACTTATTTTATTTTTTTAAGTTTAGTTTGGAGATGTATCTTCTTATCCACTTTATCAATGCATTTCTATTTTAACATTTTAGGGACAAATTTGAAAGTACATTTTTGAATTTGTGAAATGGGAATTTGAAAACATGCAAAGGTTTGCCTTGTCACCTACAATTTTGAAAGTAAATTTTTGAATTCTTCAAACATAATCTTTAATAAAATAGAACTATACATGCTTTTTTTCCATTCTCAATCAAATTTTGCACTCTAAAATTTCATTCTTGTGTTTCATCACATCAAAAGGAGCAAAAGAAATTGAAATTTAAGGTTAAGATCATTTATTTCATTCTTCATTATTCACATCAATTTAATTTTTGAGCTGAAAAAATTACATTGCGTTTGAAAATTCACTTTTGGATTCTAGGCGAGTTCCTACGGAAGTGCGTTTTCGAAATAGTTCAGTATTTGTTTCATCCTATTTTTAAATATTTTATATTATTGTTTGCCTTAGATATAGTGCACTCTGATGTTTTTCTTAGACCTATTGTGTCTACGGATATCAAATGTGTTCATGTCAAGGAGGTATATGTTGGCAACTAATTTATAAATGGACAAGAGTTTGAGTTTCATATCACATGCTTCAATAGATTCACACGGAAGCATCCAAATTGAGGTTTGATATTGTAATTGGAAGGTCCGATAATGGTTCAAATAGAAGACTTGTATTTGCAACAATGAGATGCGAAAGAAATGAGAAGTACAACTCCTCTTCGAACGTTCAAAGGAGATAACACTAGTTTGAGAAAAAGTGAGTGTTCCTTTAAGTTGTGTGGTTATCTTTTGACAAATAACAAATGGATATTTAATGTGATTTGTGGTTTACATAACCATGACATGTGTGATAAGTTAGCTGGCAATCTCATGAGAAGGAAATTGTTTTGAACATGACATGAAATATGGTCCAACTGAAAAATATACTTACAACTTAAAAATGTTTAAGACCCGGAAACATCTCAAATATCAAGTAAATATACAATATTTGTGTTCTTAACAAGGCATTAAGGGGAGATAAAACTGAAATGCAACAATTGTTGAAAGTTTTGGATGATAACAATTATGTATCTTAGTACAAAACGTGCTTGGATTGAGTAACCGTTCGAGATATATTTTGGACTCATCCCGATTCCGTAAAATTGTTCAACATGTTTCCTACTATACTCATCACTGATACAACATATAAGACAAACTGTACAAGCTTCCACTATTGGACATTGTTGGTGTTACTTATACTGAGAAGACTTATTCTTTCCTATTTACATTTCTGGAGATAAAAAAAAAGAGGAAAACGTTACTTGGGCTTTAAAAGTGTGTCGTACGATGTTGAAGGACAAAAAAGACACGTCGAAAGTCATTATCAAAGATCGCGATACCGCATTGATGAATTCGGTTGTAAAAGTGTTTTCTACTTCATACACATTACTTTGTAGGTATCACATCACAACGAATGTGTAAAGTCGATTTAAACCTAAGGTAGGAACCACACAAATTAACGGTGAAGACACAATGGTTGGCAAAGCTACGTTATAATAAATTCTTCCACGAAAGAATTATATGCCAATGTTGTTATACATTTCAGAAAGGTGTGTGACGTAGGGCTGGAAATGAGTCGAGTCGAGTCGAACTCACCTCAGCTCGGCTTGACTCGTTAAGAGTTGTTCGAATTCGAGTTCGAGTTTGACACGAACTTTTTTTTAAGCTCAAACTCGACTCGTTGTAAGTTCACGAACAGTTCGGTTCAACTCGTTAGGTTCATCTCATTAGGTTCAGCTCACATGGTTCACGAACTTAAAAACTATTTTTTTTAAATATATATTTTTTAGTATATTTGACATTTTAAATAAATAAATATATTTTAAATAAAATATTAAAATAAAATAAAAGTTATCATATTGAAATTTAACTTTATCTTCGAAATCTACTAATTCAAAACCTACACAACTTTCAAGAGATACATTTGAGAGTCTAATTCAAAAACTACTAAATTGAAGATTAAATTTGTCTAAGATTTGAAGTAAATATTTAAACCTAATCTTAAAGACAATATAATTCTTTTCATATGTAATCGAGTTGACTCATGAACCTAACGAGTCGAACTATGTATAGTTCAAGTTCAGCTCATTTAGTTAACGAACTTAATTTTTCGCTCATACTCAACTCATTTGGTTCATGAACCTAGTTCAACGATTTAATTGTCGAGTCGAATTCCGAACTATCTTCGAGTTGGTTTGGTTCATTGCCAGCCTTATGTGTGAGAAATATCTAGATTTGTTGAAATATGTTGAAAGTACAATTCTAGAGCAGGTGAAAGAGAAAATTATTTGTGCTTGAACCGATCAGGTTGAACACCTTTGAAATACAACAACCACTACTACAAAATATACCTTTGGTAACACTAAATTACAACGGTATGATAGTAATACCTTATTTTTGGACGCATTTTGTTTTTTTATATTTATGAAAAGACATTGCATTATGGTCAAAACAATCAATCATGATTATACATTTATGGAGTGATAGGGTTCGAATCACAGCTCCAACAATTTTTCACTATTTCGTTACAATGAGTGTTGTCCTTAATATATATATATATATATATATATATATATATATATATATATATATATATATATATATATATATATATATATATATATATATATATATATATATATATATTAAATTGGGGGCAGCTTCCCCCACTTGTTTAATATTTTATTTAATAAATGTTCAATAATTCTATTTTGATACCATTATATATTAATTATTATCCCCGTTAAATTTGATGTATTGCAATTATTGATTATTTTGTTGAACAAAATATTAAAAGTATATAGTAATTTTTATTAATTCTTTTGTTCAACAAAATATTAAATATTATTTTTAAAGATAATAATAAGTTTTAAAGTGATTTTTATAAAAAAAAATATTTAAGTTAGCTCTCGCTTCTTAATAGTATCACCGTATCTCTCATAACAAAATTTTATCACACATTTTCTCTCTTCTTCTTCGTCATTAGCTTTCCTATTCTACAATATAACCCCATTTTTGCTCTTCATGTCTAAAGGTATTCTTCTTCTTCCTTATTCTCTCATTTTTGTGTATGTTGTTGTTATATTTCACATGATTTTCACATGATTTTTTCTTGTACAAGAGTTTATGGGTTTTGTTGTTGTTGTTGTTGTTGTTGTTGTTGTTGTTGTTGTATGTTTCACATGATTTTCATATTATTTACTTCAAATTCACATGTTTTGTTGTTAGTTTAGATATGCTTTAGGTTTGAACATGCTTTAGGTTTAGGTTTAGAAACATGGTTTTTCTTCTTGTTCAGATTTCAGATCTTTCTCTCAGATTTCAAATCTTTCTCTCAAATTTCGGATCCTTCTTTCAATATGAATAGTGAGAGCAATCTTGTCCAAGATATTGAGGCTTCGAAGAAGGTTATTGGTATGCTGGAGTTATGGTCAAACAAAGTCAAGGAAGCTGAAGCTGTTAGGGACCACATTAATGTTGTTGAACCGTCTGGTGAAACATGCTATAAGAAGATTCTTATTAAGAATCTTAACCCTGCAAAGATAAGGAAGGTAAAGGCTATTGTGAAAGACTCGATGAATATGAATGCAACCAACTCTGAATTAGATGAAGACCTTAAGAACTTCACAAATTCAACTAGGCTTGAAGATTGAAGATATTTTTATGTTTTTCATGATTTATTATTGGTTGTTGTTGTTGACAAATAATTTTCCATATTCTCTCTTATTCGTGTATGTTGTTGTTATGTTGATTCTATTATTATGTATATTGATAAATTTTTATTACAATATACTACTAATTTATGTTAACATGCTGTTTTTTTCGTGGTGTTTGTAAGATTAAAATTGATTTGTCTTGCTATGAAGAAAAAATACAAGAGAGGATAAAAATGAAGTGAAAGATGCAAACTTGTATGATAGACCTAGAATGACATCAATTTAAATTTAACACAAGTTTGCAACTTTCTTGTCATTTCATCCCTGTTTCATTTTACAAGTTTGCATGCTATGGGTGTGGTTCACATGATGGTTTGTCTTGATTTTCCAGAAATGATTAGTTATCAAGTTCTCTCAATCTATGTTAATTAATTGATTTTTTTTGTTGATAAATGTTGTTAGCGGGTTTGTTATATCATATATGATTGCTTGTTTCACTAACCCCTCGTAGAACTTGCATTCATTTAAATAGATTTTTGAGATAATAATCATAAAAATTAAATTATTCTTGAAAAACAACTTAAACGGTCCAATGTTTTTTGAATTTCATGTATCTTGTAATTCATGATTTTCTCATTAACCCGTATAATTTGATTCAATCCCATATTCTTCAAAGTAATGATGATGAATGGATGCCAAATGTTAAAACACAAGAATAACATTGCTGA